CGGTAGTTCGAGGCCGCGCGCAGCTGCCGCAGCGCCACCTCGTGCGCGGCGAGGCCAGGGTGGATCGGTTCGTCGACCAAACGCATGCGTCCTGTCGCGCGTGGATTGGTAGATATTCCACGAATGAAATGCATGGGAATCTTAGGATGCAATTGGATTGGTTAAAAGTCCGAAGCGTCAGCAGCACGTAGTTGAGCGGGCGTAGCCACTGGAGGCTACCGGTAGCATGCGCTGACTTGAGCCCTGGACTTGAGCAACATATACCACACGGCGTTGTTGTTGAAGTGGGTCGTCTATTGCTAGAGATAAAACTATGCGCAATAAAATTGTCGGACTTATTTCGTTGTGTGTACTCGGTTGAGGGACTTGATTTAGGCAGGCGGAGGCAGGAGCGCGATCCGCGGGACGAGGTGACGTCGCGACCACTCCCACAAGTCGTGGTGGTAGATATGAGCCACAAAGCCAGTCCCTCTCCTACCTCGTGTCCAACCAAAACGACCGACGCAACCACAACCCAGCACGTTGAGATCTTCGACAGCTCTGCTGTCGCCAGGCGCGTGCAAATTCGGTATTTACGGTGCGCCAATTATCGCACGCAAAGGTGCTGGGGGCTGGCCCTTCTTGTATCAAACTTTCAACCAATCTATAGGGAATCGTAAAATTTAACGGCGACGAGCTGGTATTGGTGGAAATGGCGTGGGAATGGTAGGTGCTAAATTCGCACGCGTTTGTGGCCACGAGCGCGCAATGTCTTTTTCATCTGGACGCATGGTTGATACACAGAGATCTTGATACTTTTCCCGTGTTTCGGAGCAGTGTCGCCCATGCATTATCAATTGGCCCACAGATTGGATTGGCTTACAGACCACCATGTCGTCGCCGCCATCCAATCGCATTCGTCATGCGCAGCTTCCACTTGATAGTATGGTTGATTGTGGCAACGCTATTGGTTGCATGTACCAGAGAAGCTGCAGTGGGTGCAGTTATCAAGGTATCAGGGAGCACCACATGGTGAAGTGCTAGGAGGCCGTGGCGACCGCACTCTTCATTTTTCTTTGACCAACGCCCTTGCCATGAGCGCCGCCATGAACCAGAGCATCTACGACATCTCCTTCCCGTTGCATTCGACCGAGATGCAAGAGGCGAGTGCGACCGACGACCTTTGGCAGCTGGACGCCCCAATGTCGATCGACCGAAGCGACAAGGTCGGGGCCACGGATCTGCGCGCCGTGCACGACATGCGCATGTCCAACCTCCACAGCACGCCCGTCTACATCCAAGCAATGGTACCCGTCATGCGCCCCGCCCCTCGTCCTCTCCCTGCACCGGCGTCCGTGCCCTGCAGCGTCGCCGTTGCTGTGTAGATAGTGTAGGATAGTGTAGTTTAGAAAGACGCTACTATTCGAATTCAGCGTTATTTGTCGGTTACATAGCGACCATGGACAACTTGCACACTTCTGGACAATAATACCCAAGTGGTGTTCACGTCCTTGGTGAATAGCATGCGATTTAGCTTGGCTGGAGAGTCGTGGGTATCTGGACCTCGGCCTCGAGCACAACTTGTCCACCACCATTTTTAGAGCGAGTAGAGCGCGTGCTCCTATACTGTCGGTTTATATTAAATCCTAAAAATTCCACCGAGCAAGCGGTGCCATTGTCCTTTCGGTCGTCTTCGGTGCGGGTGATGACAAAGCTGTCGTTGGAGCCGTCGCTCATGTTGAAGCTGCCGTCGGTCGACGTGCGCTGCCGGTGGAAGCTCGACGAGTCGCTCTCCGAGTCGCTCCCGACGCCTTCGTTGAAATTCTCCAAGTGGTTGAACTTTTGTGCGATCGTCTGGCGGTACGGCGCCGTGTCCGTCTCGACCGACGCGCGCGCGACAAAATTCACGAGCGGGTTCGTCGCCACCTCGTAGCCACTCATCGCGCTCGTGCGAGGCAAACTCGTGTTGCTCGAGCTGCTGCGGGGCGAAATCGGCAGCGCAAACACCGGCGCGGGCTCGGGCACAGCGTACATGGGCGGCGTCGGGTGATGCGTCGACACGGTCGTCATCGGGATGGCCACTTGCGCCGGCGGCGTCGACTGCGGCTTGTTGG